AAACCTTTATTCTACATTTTTTTAGTATCCGTTTTTGAAACCGTTTCCTAAAATTATCTGTTTTCAAGTGTTCTTTGCTTTCAGAAATATTTTTTGGAATTGGATTTTTTTTTTTGGACCTATGTTTCACAGAAATATAAATACAGATTCTTTAGTTAAATCTAACTGATGTATTCTCTGCCATTACAGATCAAGCGAAATCTGCAAAAGTAACTATCAACCAGAGCGACCAACATGAAGCGAGCATCAAAGGTCAAACAGGACCCGATTGTTTCACAAGCTCATCTTCCCCTGACCAGTCAGTCGCCAAAGCAACCAGGGATGCCCTTCTGGTCAAACGCTTTGCTTCCAAAGCAAAAATAGAGATCAATAAGCGAAAGAATGAAAAAAAGGCGAATGAAAAGAAAGCAGCGAGGACTCTGAGCGCCATCCTTTTTGCGTTCATCACTACATGGCTCCCGTACAACATTATGGTGCTGGTCAACACTTTCTGCCAGGACTGCATTCCTGAATCTCTCTGGGCTTTGGGCTACTGGTTGTGTTACGTTAACAGCACGGTGAACCCCATGTGCTACGCTATGTGTAACAAGACCTTTCGCACAACTTTCAGGGATATATTAATCTGCCAATGGAATCGAAACAGAAACAAACCCAACTTTTCTCAGAGGAAAGCTGTTGGCTTCCGAAAGGACAACAGATAGAGGAACTCACTTTTGAAGCTCATATAATTCACCTATGCAAGACCTCTTTCTGCCACCTCTGGAACATTTCCAAACTTCCACTCTCTCCTTCCCAGACAACGAAAAGCTGTTTCAGGCATTGCAAATGCACTTCTCATTGGGAACCCTAGAAACAGTCTGCAGAGGCTTCAGTACATTCAAAACTCTGCAGCTAGGATCCTGATGAGAGTGAAGAAACATGAGCACATTACCCCCATTATCCAGGATTGAATACAAGGTTTCCCTCCTCACACATCAACGCATCCATGGACATGCCCCCCCCCACCACCTTAAAGAACTTATCAACCCACAGAACACAACCCACTCCCTTCGCTCCACTCACTCATAGATAGGGCATTTTATGCTGCTGCCCCACATCTGTGGAATGTCCTCCCTGACACCCTGAGGGCTCCTCAATCTGCTGAGTGTTTTAAAAAAGGCCATAAAAAAATGTGTTTTTAGCAAAACTTTTGGTCCCCTTTAGATGTTTTTCTCTCTTCTAAAAATACATTTTCATGCTTTTTTCTTTTTTTTTTACCTGTAGTACTTTGAGATCTTTTGATGGAAAGTGCAGTATAAATTAAATGCTAAAAGGTTAGCCTCTTTTAGCTCGGTCGGTTAGCCATATTGAGCTACAATACTTTTAACTCTTTTATTTGTCTAAAATCTCTATGAAAGTATTTTTTTGTCATTTGTCCTCCTCTGCCCTCAGATTTTAAAGTCACTGACATGATTCTAGAGTTGACTCTGGCGCAGACACAACACGAAACAGGAAGCGGTTTAGAAAGTTTATTGAAAAGTTGAAAAGACAAAGAGATAGTTTTTGTATCGGCGAAGATTCTCAGGAAACAGCAGCTTAATCAGGAACTGCACAGAGAGAGAGATCAGTTAGATTCGGGCTGGGGAACTGAGTAAACTAGAAAAGATGCAAACTCCTTACAGATCAGAAGCTTGGTTTGGTGTAGAAGGCTTCCAGCCGTACATGTTTGAGCCCTTGCCTCGCAATGCTGCCAGTTCTGTTAGCTCTACGCCTGCTGAAGACACAGACGTCCATCCCCGTGAACACTGGACGGAACTTAATTAGTGTTGCCAACTCCTCTTTGAGGAAAGTAGCTATTGGCTCTGCTGTAAGTCGCTAGAAGTCGCTGAATGACGTCATTAGCTAATTTGCATAATATATATATATATATATATATATATATATTTTAAACTTTTTTTTTTACTTTTTCTTTTCCCCTTGTGGTCCACTAAGGAGCTTAAAAATCATGGTAAAACATCAACATTTTGAACCATACATTCTCTTTACATTACATTAACATTAACAATCTAAATGGAACAAAAAAAGGCTGCAAAGAATCAATGACAATGTGAACAAATATTGGTAATTATTGTATTTTTTTTTCAAACTAATAAGATTTGCCTCCACACACACTGGCTGTGCCTGCCTGCTCACAGAAAGAGCGGGTCATCGTCATGTTGGTCAAGGCTCTCTATGGCAGGTTCAGCAACTGAGGGAGCTGACTTCAGCGTGATCAACCTGAGCCGTCAATCCCTGCACATGCACGCGGTTCATTTGTAGTCTGGAAGCTGAGGGTAAACATGCTGTGGCTCTGACTGCAGCGCTGAGACGGACTCCTGCGGAAGCGGGAGAACAGGGTTCGGACGGGGGAGGTGGCCCACAGCAGACACCAGGAAAGTCGCTAGATTTGCCGCTTTTTTGAAAAAGAGTCGCTGCAGGGGTCTGAAAAGTCGCTAAATATAGCGACAATGTCGCTGAGTTGGCAACACTGAACTCAATGGGAAAGGAAATGATTCTTATTTCAACCATGGCGTATATTAGCTGCGACATATGAATCAAGATGATATGACCGAAAAAATTTGATTGACCGTTGATATATGATTGGCCTAATTTAGGTGTTCAGGCTGACGTATAGCTAACTGGCCTGCATAAGATAACGGAAAATAAATAAGAATTTTTCTAAATTTTGGGACAATATTGTCTGATAAAGAGTACATTTGTATACATGATTAAGCCAGAATGATTTGACATTTAAATATGACTTCCCTGCGACTTTAATAATAAGAATAAGAAGAAGAGACTTTTTGTGTCACCTTGTTAAATGGCAGAGCTCAGTCTGTCTTAGAAGGCAATACTGTACTTTCCTTCAACATTGAGAATGATTGTTTTCTACTTTCGGCTACTTTAAAACGCAGATGAAATGTAAAATAATAGCAAATACGGGTAATGATATGTTGAGACTCCAGAAAAGAACTAATTTATAAGAAACGGGTAAAATACAATTTGTGGAGTTGCCAAACAATGACTCCAAAAAGGGGCGGGGCCTCGAGCAGATCCAACCACCCAAACAGATCTGGTACTTAAAGCGGGCAGCCCTCCGTATCCTTACATACAAGCTGAATTTTACTTCCATTTTCTATCCTGCTTCCTCTTCCTACCTCCTTCCTTCCTACCAGCACCGTTTAGACTCCTCTGATCATCTGGATCCAGACCGTATCTCTCTGAAATAAAACGTCCTTCAAGGAAACATCTATAGAATGTGGGCAGCAGAGCAGCCGGCTAAGACCAAAAGCTTGATGTCCACAACATGCAGACTAAGGAACAGCATCACCACTAAAACATCATGATTATCTGCAAAGTCTCACTTTGACTGAAATGTATTTCCTTAGCAACATTTCTCTCATGCTTCTAAATCTCTTTACAGTATATTTTCAGTTTTTCTTAGTGTTCACTTTGTCGCTGCTATCTGGACTATTTGCTCATAACTTTTATTATTTTCTGGTTGCTGTGGTGCAGAAAAGAATTAAAGAACCTAACATTAAAAAAACTGAAGATGTTTCTTATGTTTATTAGTCTTTTGACAGAAGCTTGCTTTTCTGATTGTGTCTAATGAACAGCAGAGTTATTTGTGTGTCACATGGAAAAGACATGAAATTAAAACAGATTTGTTTCAGTGAGTGGGAAAAAAACCTCAACATATGACCAAATTCTGACCAGTCTGTGTCCTTAGGGCTCTAAACCTATTTGCTCCTGTAGCCACACAGTGTCAGACTTTGGTTTACATGGGGAGGTTAATCTGTATGGAGGGAATTTTGTTTCATTATTGTTGCAACAAACATGTTTTGTCAGTAAATCTGCTGTTTTTTTTGTTTTTTTTTTTCGTCAATTATTTTCTTATTTAAAAAAAAAAATATCCAAGAAATGTACATTTACATAAAGCCTTTTTGACACCATAAATGAACAAAATTCACTCCATAAATATGAAGAAAAATATTTCCCAGTATTATTGAAAGCAAAGAACAGATAATTTAAGGAACATGTCTTTCAAACATTTTAAAAACTGTTTTAATAAAAGTACAATTTATAATGTGTATGGAAAATATCATCATGCACTTTTACAGTTCTGCCTGGGATCAATCCAATCCCATTCAACTTTATTTATAAAGCACTTTACAATTTCTCAAAGGAACAAAGTGCTGAACAGTGGAATAACATAAAACCATTACACGGACTCAAAAAAAAAACATACAAGCAGAACTATAAAATATAGACTAAAATAAAAATAAAAGTAATTTAAAATAATGCATCACAGACTAAAATCAACATCTCACACAGTTTAGAGAGCCAATGTAAAGAGATGAGTTTTTAAGAGCGATATAAAATCAGACAAAGAAGTGGTTCCACAGAGAAAGCACCATCGCCCCTAAGCTTCCCTTTAGTTTTAGGCACCTGAAGAAGCAGCTGATTGGCTGAAGTGAACGGGAGGGAGGGTGCATGAACGTGCAGCAAGACCTTGGAGAGACTTAAAAACAAATAAAAGAACTTTAAAATGAATCCTAAAATGTACAGGGAGCCAGTGTAATGAGGCTAAAATTGGGGTAGTGTGCTCATANTGTCTTTACGATGTAGTTTAGTATTCTTTAATTATTTAAGGATATAAATAAAGTTTTTTCAGTACCGTAATTAAATTTTTTTTTTGGCGACCCGGAAGTTATTCTGTTTGCGCAGGCGCAAATGAGCTGATGGTACGGATCGTGCTACCGGTACGGATCGGGTAGCGACAAGCTCTACACCTGCCGAGGACACAGACATCCATCCCTGTGAACACTGGGACGGACCTCAGTGGGAAAGGAAATTACTCTTATTTCAACCGTGGCGTATATTAGCTGCGACATATGAATCAAGATGCTATGACTGAAAACATTTGATTGACAGATGAGTTGATATATGATTTAGGTGTTCAGGCTGACGTATAACTAACTGGCCTGCATAAAATAACGGAAAATAAAACTGAATTTTTCTAAATTTTGGGACAATATTGTCTGATAAAGAGTACATTTGTATACATGATTAAGCCAGAATGATTTGACATTTAAATATGACTTCCCTGCGACTTTAATAATAAGAATAAGAAGAAGAGACTTTTTGTGTCACCTTGTTAAATGGCAGAGCTCAGTCTGTCTTAGAAGGCAATACTGTACTTTCCTTCAACATTGAGAATGATTGTTTTCTACTTTCGGCTACTTTAAAACGCAGATGAAATGTAAAATAATAGCAAATACGGGTAATGATATGTTGAGACTCCAGAAAAGAACTAATTTATAAGAAACGGGTAAAATACAATTTGTGGAGTTGCCAAACAATGACTCCAAAAAGGGGCGGGGCCTCGAGCAGATCCAACCACCCAAACAGATCTGGTACTTAAAGCGGGCAGCCCTCCGTATCCTTACATACAAGCTGAATTTTACTTCCATTTTCTATCCTGCTTCCTCTTCCTACCTCCTTCCTTCCTACCAGCACCGTTTAGACTCCTCTGATCATCTGGATCCAGACCGTATCTCTCTGAAATAAAACGTCCTTCAAGGAAACATCTATAGAATGTGGGCAGCAGAGCAGCCGGCTAAGACCAAAAGCTTGATGTCCACAACATGCAGACTAAGGAACAGCATCACCACTAAAACAT